GAACTTTTTGAAGTACTCTCATATAAATTAGTTGAGGAACTGCTTTTTCCAGGGTTCTGGCTATGTACGCTTTTAGAATTTGTTTAATCTCAGTTTTTTGGAGGGTTTAGTAAAGAGAGTACACTTATCAGAGGAGAAGTTTACATTATTTCTTTGTGTGGCTCCCAAATACTGCCATCTCCTGTCTTTCTACCTTATTCCCTCCTGATCCTGACATCAGCAATTCTTTGAATCTATCAGAATCTACAATCTTTTCACTGTACTTCCCATCTCATATCCTCTCTTCCTTCAATAGCTTATATTCCACGGTCTATATTTTTTCATGTAATGTAAATATAAATTTCTTTTTACTTTTTCTGCGGTGCTTGGAAAACCCCACCTTAGTTAGATCCAACTCTCTGTTTCTCTATACCATTACCCCTACAGTTGGCCCATACAATTGTGGTCTCACTTCAACAGATGACCACTGATCTCAAGAGGCTCTATAGTCTTTCCTGGCAATATATTCTGTAGTCCATTCAGTCATTTTCTTAGATGTTATTGTCTCCTCTCCTCCAGAGACAACTGAATGAACCAATGAAGCAACGTAAGATTTTTTTTTTTTTAAATACTATACGGAAAACAACAGAACTATATTCATTCAACAAATATTTACCAAGTATCTATTATATGTGCTATTTTGGATTTTGGGAATATGGCTGTGAATCTAAAGAGATAAGTTCCTGCACTTGTGGAGCTAGAGAGGAGTAGTATAAATGGTGAGAAGTGCTATGGATATAAGGCAGGTTAAGGGAGACAGGGAGTTGGGGGTATGGGATATACTATTTTATAAAGGCTACGCCTAAGGAAAGGACTCATGGATAAGTGATATTTAAACAGAGATTTCAAATATGGAAGCAGATACTATGGAAGTCAAATGATCAACAGGGCAAATGACCTGAGGCAAGAGCATGACTGGAGTATTCAGAAACAGCAGGAAGAAACCATGAGGGAGGGAGGGTGATGAGAGATGCAGTCAGAGAAATATTAGGGGCCAGATCTTGTAGAGCCTTTTGGCCATTATAAGGACTTTGGCCTTTACTCTGAAAAGGGTAGGAAACAACTGGGGGATATTGAACAGAGGTGTGACATGACGTAACATGTTTTGAAAGGATCACTATGGCTGCTGTGTTAAGAATAAAACAATTGTGAGACCAGACAAAGGCATAAAATTAGTGTAGTAACTATAGTAATCCAGGTGGGAGGCACTCATGGCTTAGACTACAGTGGTAGCAATGGAAGTCGTGCAAAGTGGTCAGATTCTGGATATATTTCAAAAGTAGGTTTTTTTTGATAGATTGGATGTGGAGTATGAGAAGGGACAGCATGTTTTTTGGGTCGAAACACCTGGAAGGGTAGTTACTATTTACTGATAAGGGGAAAATAGCAGGAGGATCAGGCTGTTTGGTGTGTGTGTGTGTGGGGGGGGGTGATGGTGGTGTCATTGTCACTGACCAGTTGGATGAGTTCAGAGAAAGCTGTAGCTTGAAGATTTAAGTTTGGCTGTCAACAGCATGTAGGTGGTATTTAAAGCCGTGATGAAATTGCTTTGGGGATGTGTAGAAAAGAGAGCTGAGAACTGAACTCTAGAGAACTCAAAAAGGCATAAGCTCTAGATTGGTTATCTAGGAGGAATTAGCTAAGATAATAGGAGTGGCCAGCAGGTTAGGTAGAGAAACAAAAGTGGGGACAGACTTTGAGGTATGGATATAGCGGTGTGGGGAGTAGGATGCAGGGGATGAGAGGTGACATGGGAATTTAGGGCTTCTTCTAGTGACTGATATTAACAAGAATAAAGGACACAATGAGGAGTCCTGGAAATGGTATGGGGTTGCTGTGAGTTATTATGGGGAAGAAAGGCTGGATGCTTTCAAGGATGCCCAGGGAGAGGTCAGTGTATGTGTCCTTTGTATCAACATGAAGGTTGGATTCTTAATATTTTATAGAAAGGAAACATGTTTTTAAACATGTTTCCTTTCTATTTCAAATGAAGAGTAGGTTAAAAATTAGTAGTAGGGTTCCATTGCTACTAAAATTGATAGAAAACTTAATAGCAGTAGTTCTCAACTTTGACTATACATTGGAAACATCTGGGGACTTTCAGAATTACTGATACTTGGATCCTAACTACAGATTGGTCTGGGGTGTGACCCTCGTACTTGGGCTTTTGAAAAGCTTCCCAGATGATGTTAATTTGCAGCCAACGTTGTGAACCACTGCCTTCTAGAAATAAATTCATTTCACAAATGAAATTCACTATTGTTTGGTTGCATTTGGCATATATATATATATATTTTTTTTTTTTTTGTCTTTTTCGTGATCAGTAAGGGGTTCACAACCCTTGGCTTGGTGTGGCCCGCACCGCACTCAGCCAGTGAGCGCACTGGCCATCCCTATATAGGATCCGAACCCATCGCGGGAGCGCCGCTGCGCTCCGAAGCACCGCACTCTCCCAAGTGCGCCACGGGACTGGCCCTGGCATTTTTCCTCAAACGGCTCAATAATTAATGTTGTACTATTTGCTTGTTAGCTCATAAGCAAATCCTTGGTTTAAATTTTTTTGGAGCTATTTGGCTTAAGTAAAAATTTAATCTACTCTCATGCAGGTGAAAGATGTACAGGTAACTGAAACCATAACAAATTACTCAACCTGCCTAAACCTTAGTTTGTTCATTCTTCTGTAGAACTGGAATAATGAAAGTCGTAATGAAAGCCTCAGGTTGATGTGGGAATATAAATGAGGTAATAGAAGAAGCCTACTGAGCCAAATACAAAGCAAGCACTTGATGTGCCCTGACCACAAAAAGAGTGAGAAACAGTGAAAACGTTTATACTTTATCTAGGTACCTATACGTGTGTTTTTGGACCTATCCTCATTGCCCTGTATACCTTTAAGCAAGCCAGTGGAACTCTTAAGACTAGATTTAATGACTCCGTATTTGAACACCTCTAACAGAGAAGTAAAGGTAAGGACAACATGCAAAATGATTTCTTGTCATATTCAAAATAAAGACCTTAAACTAGGTAATACTTTATATATACCTAGATTTAGCCACTTTCTTTGAAGATTTAAGTCATCTTTTTTCTGAATAATATGCAAAAACGGATTAGTAAATATTAGTGAATAAAATAGGTTAATATCAATTTGAATTGGGTTAAATGTATGTTTAATAAATTTTATATTTAAAATTGACAAGAAAGATGACTTACCTGTCCATGTCTACACTATATACCCTGATGAAATTTTTATAATTTAATTTTTCATAGGTACACATTTGTAATGACTTACCTGTCCATATCTACACTATATACCCTGATGAAATTTTTATAATTTAATTTTTCATAGGTACACATTTGTAAATCTGGACAAGTGACTGCTATTCCATTTTGGTATCATATGTACCTTGATGAAGAGATTAGGTTGGATACTTCAAGTGAAGCCTCCCACTGGAAACAAGCTGCAGTTGTTTTAGACAATCCCATCCAGGTTGAAATGGGAGAGGAACTCGTACTCAGCGTTCAGCACCACAAAAGCAATGTCAGCATCACAGTAAAGCAATGAAGAGTAGTTTTCATTATAAATACAAAATTCTTGCCTGAATTAGTGGGGTTGTAATCATAAAATAGGTGTATAAAATTTTAATTCCTTGTAATGGTCAAATATATTAAAAAATTTACATTAATAAAGGATATTTAAAAGATTCTACATCAAAGAGCAGCATTATTATAAAAATATTGCAGACTTACTTTTTGAAATAGGATACACATTAGTTTTTCAAGTTAGGAAGCTATTTTTGCTTGACTTTACTTAATAGAGATTTTAAAAGTCTTAGTCTCATCATGTGTAAGTAAAGCAAAACTTTAATTTTTTAGGCATCTTGGCTTTTTTTCTTAAGTGTAATTTTATAATAGAGAAACATTGAAAGGTAGGCATCCAGTGTGAAGACTGTGGTTACCTGTAATTTTCAGCTTGTTTCCTTTTAAGTACCGGGTACTTCTGAAGTACCTCCTCAGGTTTTATGTTTTGCAAATGCAAGTTCGAATAAGAATTTAAGCTGTAAGCTAAATGTAGTAATTGAAAGAGTAAAGGAGTTAGGGAAGAAACAAATCTTCAGGAGGCAGCATTTTTCCTGGTCTACTTTGGCAAAGGAGAATTTAAAAGCTGATAACAAAACAAAATTCAAGAAAAATTTAATTTTAAACCAGTAATTTTCCAAAATTTTGATTTGGATGCACAGTAAGAGATATAATAATTGGTCCAACGTTTTACAGGTTTTAGAAACAGGGAGATTAATAAGGAAGATCATTATCATGCCTTGTATATGCTGTGTGCTTTGTGTAAGTCACACAACAAGATGTATCTTTGCCTATTGTCATTACCTCTATTATTATACTACTCAACTTTTTAAAAATTTTAAATAAATTTTATTGTATATATTTAAGGTATACAACATAATGTTATAGGATATATACAGATAGTAAAAAGGTTACCATAGTAAAGCAAGTTAACATAACCGTCATATCACTGTTATCCATTTTTTGTTTTTGTGGCAAGAGCAGTTAAAATGTACTTATTTAGCATGAATCCCGAATACAATTTTGTTACCTGTAGTCCTCATGTACATTACATTTCTAGACTTCATCCTACATATCTGCTACTTTGTGTTCTCTGACCCACCTCTCCCCATTTCTGCCCACCCAACCCAACCACTGGTTTTGTTCTCTATTGCTGTATATTTGAATTTTTTTTTTTAAGGTTGCACATGTGAGATCATGCATTATTTTTCTTTCTGGCTTATTTCACTCCGCATAATGTCCTCCAGGCTCATCCATGTTGTGGCAAATGGCAAGATCTCATCCTTTTTTAGAGCTGAATAATGTTTCATTGTGTATATATACCAGTTTTTAAAAAATCTATACAGTTAGGTTTTTTCTGTATCTTGGCTATTGTGAATATGGCTGCAGTGAACATGGGAGTGCAGATATTTTTATGAGGTGGTGATTTAATTTCCTTTGAGGGTATGCCCATAAGAGGTACTGCTGGGTCATATGGTAGTTCTATTTTTAATTTCTTTAGAAACCTCCATACCGTTTCCATATGTTTTGTTACATAATGCTGTACCAATCTACAGTCCCACCAACAGTGTACAACAGTTGCCTTTTCTCCCCACCCTCACAACATTTATTGTCTTTTGGCTTTCTGATGATAGCCATCCTAACTAGTATGTATCATCTCATAGTGGTTTTGATTTGCATTTCCTTGACGATTATGATGTTGGAACACCTTTCAAGTACCTTTTAGCCATTTTTATGTCTTCTTTGAAAAATGTCTATTCAGGTCTTTTGCCCAATTTTTAATAGGGTTGTTTTTCCTACTCTTTTTTTTTTTTGGCAGCTGGTCAATAGAGTTTTTCTACTATTGAGTTGTGGATATCAACCCCTTATCAAGATATGTGGTTTACAAGTATTTTTTCCCAATCTGTAGACTGCTATTCATTTTGTTTCCTTTGCTGTGCAGCAGCTTTTTAGTTTGATGTAGTCCCATCTGTTTTTGCATTTGTGGTATCCAAATTGGTGTGATATCCAAAAAATCATTTCCAAAACCAATGTCCAGGAGATTTTCCCCTATGTTCCTTTCTAGGAGTTTTATAGTTTCTGGTATTAAATTTAGATCTTTTATCCATTTTGAGTTGCTTTTTTTGTATGGTGTAAGATAAGGGTCTGACTTCATTCTTTTGCATGTGGAAATCCAGTTTTCCTAGCACCATTTATTGGAGAGACTATCATTTCCCCATGTGGCCTCTTGGTGACCTTGTCAAAATTAATTGACTGTATTTGGATTTATTTCTGGGCTATTCTGTTCCACTAGTCTACATGTCTGTTTTATGCCAGTATCATACTGTTTTGATTACTGTAGCTTTGTAATATAATTTTAAATCAGGAAATGGTGATGCCTCCAACTGTGTTTTTCTTTCTCAGAATTATTTTGGTTATTCAGGGTTTTCTGTGTTTCCACATGAATTTTAGGATTGTTTTTTCTATTTCTGTGAAGAATGACATTGGAATTTTGATAAGGATGTGTTGAATCTGTATATCGCTTTCAAGGATATCTTTCCATTTATTTATGTCTTCAATTTCTTTCATCAGTGTACAGATCTTTCACCTCCTTGGTTCGATTTATTCCTTTTTTTTTTGATGCCATCATAAATAGCATTGTTTTCTCGATTTCTTTTGCAGTTAGGTCATTATTTGTGTATAAAAATGCTACTAAGTTTTGTATGTTGGTTTTGTATCTTTCAACTTTACTGAATTCATTTCTTCTAACAGTTTTTTGGTGAAATTTAAGGGTTTATTTTACATATAACCCAGCTTTAATTTCAGTAGAAATATTTGATTTATAATAGTGGACAGAATAATGAGTCTGTACCACAATTACTGTGAACCACTACACACACACACGGTATTTAAAAAAGTGCATGGAAAGATTCATGTCATCTTTCAATTCTGTTTTTCCATGAACATTCTGAAGTGGCTCCATGTGTATGTGTGCATATATGTATA